TCTCTACTGTTATTGTTATGTATTGAATATAATAGATTTATACCTATAAAATATTTCACTTTTTTGTCAATTCAGCTTACTCAATGATAGAGAAGGGGTCCCTTAAGGAAAATGGTTGGGAACCAGTGCTTTATGGTATAGAAATTACATAAAATGTGATACTGGTATTTGTGATATTTGTGGCTGTGGTAAAAGCGGCCGTGCAGAGCATGACTCTGTTTTTTTCCACCCACACACTGTCTGCAAATCAGTTCTGTTTAATATTAGGCTTCACTGGAACTCACACAACTCCACCTTCACATCTCCAGAGAACGATGTGAGTGAGGACATATGATCACACCATTTTACAAATGCCAGTGCGTGCACACACACACGCCAGAAATCAAAACTCAATCTCAGTGTGAGGCAACCTGCAGCTTACCCTCTGTGTGCCACCATTGCCATGTATTCCAACTGACAAGCTGCACACTCACACAAGACATTTTTCACCACTTAGACAAAGATGTTTGTGGGTGTTAAATGTGTTAAGCTAGGCAGATACTGTACACTTTTTATTAATCTGTGTAGTGTACACTCCTTCAGACATAACTGCTATTTCTGCGTGTCCAAAATATGGTCATTCTGCAACCAGGAAGAGAGATAAAAAAATAATATCGATGATGATGAAAGATAGCTGGGAATACATGAACAAAAAGATCTGTGTTATAAGAATACGAATGGTTGTAGTTTATATTTTGTTTACTGACATTATAAAGAGATTCCCTCACACACAAATTTTCATCAAATTAGTTTTTTAGAAAATGTATATTCTAATGTTTTTTTCCAAGCACGAAGAAGACACTTAAGTGGCTGTGGAATGCCAGAAAAACACAAAAGGCCTTATCTAGAGCTAGTGTTTGTTTTGTCCGTTCTGCGCTACTGTAGAAGCATGGCGGTTCAACGTAGCGGACTCTATAAAAGGCAATTCGCTGCGTTTGTAGATAAAAACAGCTCATTCTAAGGTAACAAAAACACAACAATTCTTATTTTCGGGTGATTATACACATGAAAACATACCTATGAATATTATATTCCAAATGTTACACACTGGACCTTTAAGCTTGTTTTAATAGTGTCTCTTAATTTAGTAATGACTAAGGTATTGTATTTAATCATAATCATACTACTAAGATTTCATACTGGCATGTTCCTAGTTACTAAAAACATAACTGTAAGCCGCCCACAAAACATCTCTTCACCCAGTACTACTAATTACAGCTGCTAGCTGCCAGACATCTGACAAAAAAAAGCTTCCAGCTCGTGTGACAGCTCATATTACAACACTGATCAATTTTATTACACATTCAGGCCTTTTCCAAGAAAAGCTCATTGCTTTCCAGAAGACATTATTTTGGTACATTTTAAAGATGTTTTTTAGGATAGCCTCTGGCCCATTACCAGAGGCTCGGAACAATGCCACCACCCATAACATAGCCAGATTTATATGCAAGGATATGTGCATATGCAGTGTGATAAAGGAAAATGTCCTATCCTATAGTATAATTTTTATGTTCAAATGTGATTTTTGAACATAAAACTTTTAAAAGTGTTGGCTGATGTTAGCCTGATATGGCTAACATCATCATGTACTCTATACATGGTATGTCACATTTACATTCCCCCAGCAACATCTTTTAACCATCTACAAAATGTAGTCAACATAGATTAGCCTAGCACATAGCATATCTAAGTACAGGAAAGGAGAAAGCTGACCGAGATTCCGTGGAAAGGGTTGGGATTTAGGGAGCATCAATTTGCCACAGATATCCCAGTGTAAACTACAGCAGAGATTGTGTAGGCTGTCCCTGCAGAATGTAGCTGTATGATGCCTGAGGAGTGAAAGCACGGAGAGCATGATGAGCTTTCCAGCCTTGTCTGGTTGTCATGTATCCATACTATCTGCAGCAAACAATGGACAGGGATGTCCCACTGCCTACAAACATCCTCATTCATTCGTTCATCTCTTTTTCACTGTCTATACTCTGCCATATGTGAGGTCTGATAGCAAGACCTCCTACATCTCTATTCACACCGGATTCGAAGGATGACTTTGTATAGCTCACAGGCTCAAACACTGTGGGAAGCCGTGACTTTGTGTGTGTGTCAAGCACGGTGATAACTCTTTAAAGCAGCGGAGCAAAACAACAGCTCTTTATCAGCTCCCTCTCAGCCCTGCCCTCCCTACACACACACACACACACACACACACACACACACACAGACAGACACAAACACAGACACACGCACACACACCTATCTTTCTGTCCTCTCATTCCTCCTCCTTTCCTTTGTCTTCCTCATCAACCTAATTTCCATTCATAATCCAGATCAAGTTGCTCTGCAGGGTCTGGACTTCAGGATGAAACCAAACCCAGTACTGTGAAATTATTATATCTGTAATCACTGAACTGAGAGATGATCTTTCTCTTCTTTTTCCCTGTCCGTACTTCATTAACAGCATTTGATATCAAACAGACAGATATTGGCCTGTTTCTTACTGGAGTGTTCATTAACTATGCAGCACAGTGTCCTGCACATCACCATCGTCCCACATCCTCTCATTAAGTCTCAGTTTGACAAATAAATGGCAATCAAAGCCATGGGGGTACTGTGTCATTTTCATCCAATTCGGTATCACAAGTTTACACAAAAATCTCTTCAAATAATAGAACTCACTTGTTGCTTTTTAGTCTAATTAGGTAACCAGCATGTAATTTTGCAATCCGGCACTCAACAAATCCAATCTCAAACTCTATAAAAGCTCCACATTTTCACCAAAGCCATTACATAGTGAGTTTTTGTTCTCGTCTATTTATTAATTTGAAAATACTCAGAGAAAATGATGTTATTCCTTGTGGTAGTTTGGAAAAACTGAAGGAAAAACACAAGTAGAAGTAATTATGTTGTTGGAGTGATTTCAGTATAAGAATATGAAATACAATGTTCAGGGATCCACCACATGAACACAAGCATGAACTTTTCTATCTGAACCCATCATCCTGTTCCTCTGACTTACCAAGTATGGCCAGCACAGTGTTGTCTTTCAGGACCTCCATGGAGCCCGAGCAGACGAAGTAGATGGCCTGCAGGGCGTCTCCCTGCCGGATGAGGAACTCGCCCGGAGCGCAGAAGGAGGTCTTAATAATGAGGGACAGGGAGCGCAGGCAGCCCCTACTGGCCGACTCGAACAGGGGGAGCTGGAGCAGCTCCTTGTTCAGGTGCATGGCGATGTCGGCCCTCAGCTCGTCTGGGAAGTCCTTCAGGAGCTTTAAAGCGAGAGAGGGTTCACACTTAACAACTGTTCTTTACTAAGATTTGCAATGGCTGCTTCAGCTAAACCAGTGGTTCTCAACCTGGGGTTCAGGGACCTCCAGGAGTCCTTTGGGGGGTTCCACGGTTCCGCAGAAAGACTTGTTATATTTTAACTTCATAATTATTTCATTGATTAGAAGGAATGACAGAATGTATAAGAATGACTATTTTGTTTATAGGTTTCACACTCCTTACAGTTAATCTGCCAATCTGCAGTACTGTTAAGGAATAACTAAATCTGATCATACCAAAAAGGTTGATAGCCACTGAACTAAACAGCACTACAGCACTAAATACACTCCAGCATCTTTACCTGAAAGCAGTAATTCTCAAACATGTGACTGAAGGAAAAATGTGGAGCAGAATGATCGTAAACCTTTCATTTTAAACCTGTTGAACACTGGTGTTGCTAATAACATTATAAATTGCTGCATTGCATTGACAGCTGGAACAAGCCATAATTATCAATGATTAGATCCACATGTGCTAATGTTAATGCATTAAGTTAAGGTGGTGATGAAGTCAGTATCACAGTTATCTTGGCCAAAATCAAGATTTACAATAATAATTAAAATGTGCTTAAAACTCTTAAAATGGCACTAAAACATACTGGAATTTTGTTTATAAACAACACATCCAGTTTAACTTTTTTTGCCTTGTGGCAGTTCAAATTAAATCAGAAAAAAACAATATACGACTGCACGTTAGCGACACAGACAGCTTTTTAAAGCCACTTCACTATCATGACTATCCCCCCCAAAAAAAATTCACCACAAAAAACTGTTGAAAAAAGTGTTTTTGATCACGATACACAAGAATATTGTATATTATCCATCCCCAACACTGACACACTCATATGCTTTTGTGTTAAAGTGAATGTATGTCCGCTCTCTCCTCACCTCGTTAACGTCTATCCCGTTGTTGACCGACCACGTGGTCTGGAAACACTCCAGCATGCGCTGCTCCAACGCCTTGGGCAGCCGGTGGACCCTGATGAAGTCCTTTAGGTCCTTGGTGCGTGTGTGGTAGAGCGAGCGGCGTGAGTACATCCTCTGGATGATCGCCGTCACGTTACCAAACACCACTGCATGCATCAGTGCTGAAGACAGAGGTAAGGTTGATAAAATTGAATTACATATATACGTTATATTTGATTGGCTTTTCATCTAGAATGGCACTCAGGAAAATCCTATAATGCTTTTGCACAGCAGGAAGCTTTACAGGACATCCTATAAGACCCAACAAGTTAAAAGAGTGCAGGGCTTAAAAGGACTTAGCTGTTTAAAACCACTGTAAGCATTGCCTCAAGTGGATTACTGCTTTCACAAAATGGCAGCAACACACTACTGAAATAATCCCAATGTGAATAAATCTTTTATTTTCTAGTGAACAAAACACCAGTAAGACAACAAAATGATCATTCTAAAACCCACAAAAAAAATCCCAGTATGAGCACTGACTGGAACTATCTTTCTTATAATGTGCTTTCCTGGCCGTACAGCACACCTCCCTTAAATTTAATTCTCGCCCAAGTAGAGAAGCTGCTGGAACAGCTTTTAGACACTTTGGGACACTTACACAGTCCACTGACACCCAGACTAATAACATTACTTTAGGATGACTGCTCTTCAGGCAGGGTCACCCACCTCACATTTTGGTAAACTATGGTGTAAAAACTTATAAATATCTTTTGGTTACAGCTGAAGGACACCCACTGCTTTAGGGCAGTGCGCCGCTAGAGCTATGAAGTCAGTATGAGGATAGAATTCAGAGAGATTAATGAAGCTCTAGTCTCCTCTCTATACTCCTCTCTCGGTTTAGCTTAGAGGACTATGCACACATGAATGCGGTTGCAAGGTTATTAAAAATCAATGCAACACAAAAAAACACCCACTCCAAAACCCAAATTTAATCAAAGGATGAGGATAGCTTTGTTCTATGTTTTTCTTATTGTCAACAAATTCCCTAATTTCCTAAAACAGCTGGGCACTGCAGTTATTAGCAAATGTTTCTTAAAAGGTCCAGTGTGTAGGATTTAGTGGCATCTTGCAGTGTATTGCAGATTGAAACTTCACCCCCCTTCCAGATGTGAAGGAGACTCTACAGTGACCACGAAATGTGCAAAATAAGAGAAAGGTCCTATCTAGAGTCAGTGCTTTGTTTGTCCAACTGCTGTGTTTGGGCTACTGTAGAAATATGGAAGTTCAACATGGCATAGATAAAAATGGCTTATTCTAAGGTAATGAAAACATAAATGATTATTATATTGAGGTGATTATACACTAATGAAAACATACCTATGAATAGTTATATTCCATTTCTGACAATAAAACTGGGCCTTTGCTCTACTAAGTATTAACAGCACCACGACACCATCAGTATGTGGGACTGAATCAAAACAGCCAGGATTGTAGGATCATTAGAGTTCCAGCACAACCAGTACTAGTGCTATAACATCAAAATTTAAGAAGGTATAGCACAAATATTAGGCACATTAGCACCTTTCACTGGAAAACAAATTAATTTCTTTATTCTTTCATCGAGGAAGGAGGAAGGAAGTATGTGATTTGTTACTTATTAGCTCTGTGTGTGGGTGTGTGTGTGTGGTTGTCAGTCATTTACTGTCCTAACAAAATTGTTCATCGTCACATGTGAGCTTACACGTCCAATGCATGTGTACAGCTGTGCTTAAAGTCAGGGTTTTTTGCCACTGGAGAATGAAAGTAAGTCAATACAATGTCCTCTCAGGTAAAGTGTGTGTGTGTGTGTGTGTGTGTGTGTTCCTTTATAGCCCACTTCATGTGCACTGAAGCCTGAGACATCACTGTGTCCTCGTAATAATCGTCAGCGCATCCCGGCATTTCTCTCACCAGATAACCTTTTCATTTATTCTTTTACTGCTTTCTTCTGGAACATTGGGTTTTCTTCATTATGGATGTTCATCAGCACAAAAATCCTCAGAATTCATAGTAGTAATGTGCTGAATGCATCCAACACTAGTTTTATGTTAACAAAAGGTACAATATCTATCCTAATTAATACATTTCATTTTTTTTAAAGGAAAGCCAAAATACTGTAGCTCATTAAAAATGGGAATATGTAAGTTTATCATCGATGTGGCTGCTGTTGTCATCATCTTCTTTATGTTCATCATCATCATCACCATCAGTCACTGTCCTTCTGTCGTTACTCGAATCATGTCTGCATTTGTATGCGTGTCATTGTTAGTGCTAAAGTGTTTAAAGGGACAGTTCAATCAAAAATACATATCTTTCCTCTTCCCTGTAGTGTTATTTATCCATCTAGATTGTTTTGGTGTGAGATATCAGCCATTAAGATATCTGTCAAGATAATCCACAGACCTTGTTGTGAGCAGTTTCATCAAACTACACCCACCAACTGTAGCTGAACTTTAGCTATCTCAGCGGCGCTCGGTATGGTACCTAATGGTTACATCCTGTGCTGTCAGGAGTAGGAGCCTCTCAAGTTTTTCAAAATGTGTTGTTGGGGCGCTTTGAGCACCAAAAGCCGAGTGTGATCTGGTTCCATTATACTGGAACAATATGTATTTTTAATTGTGGGGTTTACTGTCCCTTTAAAGGCAAGGGAAAAAAGTTATTAGGATTTCTTTTCTCAATGATTGTGACTTTAATCATCAAATAAAATAAATTAGTTATATTTAGCATCAAAGCAATATCATTTTGGGGCTTCAGTATATAATGTGTGGCCATGTTTTGAACATTACAGTAATAGTTTGTCGGATCTGCATAGATAGAGTTGAATGTCTCTCTCCAATTTTCTCCCATTAATCTTCTGATCTTCACTGGGCCACAGAAGTTCATTCACATATTTAATTCCTTTTGAAGATTTAGCATCCGTGGGCGTTTGTTTGAAGGTGACACACTGCTGGGTGCTTCCACTCAAAAAACCTAAACTCGTACAGAGTATACCCTTTGTACATAGTTCTAAACAATGTGTATATTTGACAGGACATTGTGTATTTTGCTTTAGTCAAGATGGATATTCACTGCACTTTACTGAACCCTCTTTTGTTGTTTTTATTCCTTACTTTTGTATCATTGACCTTTTCGAGACAAAACAGTTGCCAATAAATGCAGTTCAAATAAAACTTTGAATGCTACCAAAGTTACCATCAGCTACTATCAGCTGGGTCTCTGCCAATTCAAGGTCATAGTGTAGAGTATGTTATCATCAGTGTAGTCTGAGCAATGTACAATTTTCCATTAAACTAGAATTTGTTTGTAGTAGAAAATGTTAGATATTTTATCAACATCTGGACACCAACATTCTTACAGTGATAGCAAACTTTGTTCAAACAAGTTCATGAGAGAAAAAAAGCAGAAAATAATCAAAAAATGTCAAATCTTGGAAAATTATTTTTTAAATAAATCCTGTATTTACCAAAACTAAACTAAACTAAACTGAACCTTAGGCCTGTTACAAACTACTTTCGTTGGATGATATATTGTCTCAGAAATCCTTGCAATAAACTACATTATTGGCATTTTAAGACCACGGCAAAACAAATGAGAGGACAGTTTTTTTCTGTTCATTCAGCTTCATTAACAGTAAATATAATGGACAGAGCTCCTGGGTCTGTGAAGTGAAGCCAATGCAGAAGTGTCTTTAACCTGCATTCTCTCTAATGGCCAGCAGGTGGCAGCTTCATAGGCTGCAAAAAAGAAGTCATAACATTGAGTCTTAAGGAGAAATGAGCCAACTTCTGACTTGATTTATTAGCTCTAGCTTCTTTGCATTGGCTCCCTGTTAAATTTAGAATAGAATTTAAAATTCTCCTCCTCACCTATAAAGCTCTTCATGGTC